ATATAATTTTATTTATTAATAAATATGATTTATTTTCTCTATTTATGGATTCGAATAAGTTTTTTTATATCTCGTTTTTATTTGCTTGATTCGTATACGAATCAAATTTTAGAAATAGAATATATGTATTTTATTTTTTTATTCTTTATATAATCAAATTTTATCGAAATCAATTTCATATTTTTGTTTCACTATATTGACTTCAATATATATTTTATAATTTAAGTTTTTTAATCATTTTTCAATTTACGGTATACATTCTCACTCATTAAGTACTATCATGATGTATAACAAATAATAATATTAGATTCATTAACTTTATTAGAAATCAACTATGCATCTACACGTATAATACCAACTATTTTCTATTCTTTTTTTAAATATTTGAAAATTAATTTTTTAATTAAAATAATTGAAATAATATTTTAGAATAACTCGCCGAAGAATTCAAATACAATTTTTGTATACTAATATTATTCATTTTGTTCTAAATAATTAAATATAAATCAAATGTATATATTTTAAATAATAATCTTCTCATCAGGAAAAAAGTTTCATTTGTTAATTTTTATACAAGTTTTTACACTAATGGTCTGTTTTATTTCTTCGATGCAATGTTATGAAAAAAAAATATTAAGATGGTTTTTTAAAAAAATTATATTAAAATTTTTTTATTATGGGTTTTTATTTAAGAATAAATTCATAAAATAGAATGAATCATATTTTTTTAACTTCAAAATTTATTCATATATATATATATATATATATATATATATATATATATATATATATATATATATATATATATATACAAAATTTTGATTAAGAATTATAAAACGAGATGAAATTTTATCTTTTATATTTAATTTAATATATTTTAATTAACCAACAACAATATTTGTTATCAAACTGAAATAAATATGTTTGGTTTGGTCTACAATGTAGCATGAGAATCCAAACTGTTTATATATATGTCTAAAATTCTTTTTCACTTACTCTTCATATGCATAAAATTTCTATTTACTTGATGGCAATTTAAGTAACTTTTGCGTATTGTTTTTTGTGTGGTTTTGGGTATTAATATGTAAATTCAATACTTTTCCTTGTTTTGGTTCCTCATGTTGTAACATTTTTTTCAATCCTCATCTTTCATTTTTCTTTCATTTTCATGCAATGTATGTGTGCGTGTGTTTTAAAATTATAAAATTAATATATACTTCAGCTTATATTACTCTTAATATTTAAATTTTATTTTTTGAATTTATCATTTTTTATGAAAATTCTCATACACTTAACCTTTTTTATATAAAGTTTTATTTGCTAATAAATATAATTTATTTTTTTCTATGTTTGAATTTTACAATAAAATTTTAAAACATGATTGTTTTATCTTTTTCAAAAAATAAATTGGTATAATATATATTATGAATTTTTATAATTTTAAGATGATAGTTGCATATATATAAATATATAAGTATTTTATTCTAAGAGGTTAAAATTTCATTTTAAATAATTTATTTCACTTCAATAGGCATAGTCAAGACTTATAAAAAAACTATTGAATCATTATTTTTATTAAAACTTAACTATACATCTTCCAACATAATGCAAATTATTTACTATGAATGTTGTTTTAACATTATAGAACCAATTTATTTGACATAAAATAATTTTTTAAAGAAACCAACTAATTATTCAAATGCAATTTTTATCTAAGTTTATTGATTATTTTGTAAATAATTATATAAAGATCAAATGCATATACTTTTTTAAAAAAATCTTCTCACCAATATCAAATAAGAATAAAATTTTATTTTTTCATTAATTAATTTTTATGCAAGTCTATAAATTAATTGTAATGTTATTTTTTGGATACATTCTTATAAAAAAATATATTTTAAAATTATTTGTTTTAAAATTCTTAATTAATTTTTCAGGTTTAAATTATTACAAGTTTTTATTTAAAAATTCATGAATAAAGAAGAATAAATCATTTTTTTAAGCAGAAATTTTATGAAACACACACACACACACACACACACACATATATATAGTGATATTAAATAACAAAGTTAATAAAAAATTATAAAATTTTGAAATCATTTTGCTTTATTTTCCCGTAGCGTTCCGTAAATAATTTCAAAAATTAATTTTCTTATCAACATTAAATAATTTTTTTTTCATTTTTTAAATTTATAAAATTTTGACCATTAATTATAACTTAATTTTTTGAAATATAATATTATAAAAAATATGTTTTAATTTTTTAATTCTTGATTAATATTTTATTTAAAATTATTATAATTTTTATTTTAAAAGCAATCCATAAAGAAGAATGATTTATGTTTTTTTTAAGCGGAAAATATATGAAAGACACTAAAAAAATTAATTAAATAAAAACTTATAATTTAAAATTATAAAAATTTAAAATGATTCTGTTCAACCGGACTCGCAACATAGCATGTGCAACTAACTCAGTTATCATCTAAAGTAGCACAAGCACTCCACACATTTAGCAATGTACTAGCAATTTAAAAGACTAGCATTAACATTAATTTTTTTTAAAAAAAAATGCCCACTCCTTAACATTCACTAAAACTTCATTAAAAAAGAAAAAACAATGGCTGCTATATTCTCATCTAAACTAACACAACTACTTCACTGTGTTTCTAGTCCTAATTGAGGTAAAGAATTCTTCTCAAACCTTATACCACTAATTTCGTCACCAAGTTTTGATGCTTTACTAAATTCTTGTGTCCTTGATTCTTATGATAATGTCATTTCCCCTACAATTACAACTTCTAATTTGATAAAAACTAATCCAATTTTCAACAAAGAGGTAAACTTTTAGATTGCCCATTACTTGTTAAAATAAGATATGTAAGTCTTCTTTTGATTAGAGCTCAATTCAATTCAATTTGTAACTAAATTTCCAAATCAATAAAGCACTTAGAAAATGCAAAGTAAACAAAACAAAACAATTTAATTTCTATTTGATCGTAGCAAAAACATAAAGGAAGTAATGGTGTCTTGAGAATTAAGAAATGTTTCTAATGCATAAGCATTGTTTGTGTAGAGAAAATAAAGAGAAGAATTCGTCTACTAACTCACATGTGTATAGCTTTACAAATCGATCAAATAATCAGAATTGGTTGGGCTGTTATACGTATTATAAGTTTGGATTTCTTTTTAATATATGAGCAGCCAAGGTGGCCTCTCCACTATCAAGGTAAAACATGGGTTATCCATTCGTTATGGAAAGATAATCATTTAATTATTCACTAACAGAAAATGCAATCTTAAAATGTTAGTTAGGTGGTTAATTTTTTTTTTTTTTTTTTAGGATTCGAATCTTAGAAATAGCCTTTACAAAAATTATTAAATCATGATATGAAAAATATATTTATAAACTTAATTGAAAAAATAATTAATCTAATCTTTTTTTATACGTAAACTTATTTGAAATTACTCTTATCATCAAATAACAAAAGTATTCTTAGATTTTGGATTAGTTAAATAATTAGGAGTACTAAAATTAAAGAATTATTTTAAAATTTTATAAATATTTTTTATGAATTAATTAATATAATACATTATAAGATCATAAGAGCTTGTACAGACATTGAAAAACTCCAAAATAAGGAGTTTTGTAATGTTTGTTGCTTGAGTACTAAAATTAAAGAATTATTTTAACATTTCACAAATAGTTTTTTATGAATTAATTAATATAATACATTATAAGATCGTAGGAAAAAAGCTTTGTACAAACATAGAAAAATTTAAAATATGAAGTTTTGCAATGTTTGTTGCTCGAGTGTGGGACTTATTTGGTTGGCCCTGTACTCAATTTTTGAAACCAAATGCTAAATTTTAGTGTTTGGACATTTTCTAACGTGAAGCTAATGGTGGTAAGGTCTGCTTCGGCCTTTCGTGATCCAAGATTCAAGGTCATGCATGAGTTTCATTCTCAAATCAATGTATGGAAATTACTTAGCAGAAGAGAGAACATGTCTTCTATTCCTATGATGAAGCAAAGATTTAATTAAGAAATTGGTTTTATTTGATGCATAACAACCAGTCCCCACATATCCTTTGAAATGCATGCTAATCATGTTGATAATAATCATTAGGCCGAATGCTTCCCTTAAATAATCCTAGAAATTTTTGAGTTTCAAACCTCAATTTCAAGTCCAATTAACATAATTCAACCTCAATTGCATGAATTGCAAGTTTAAATCCATTTCTCTCAATTTTTGTTCATTAAGGACCCTAACTCTAATTTTTAAAATTAAAGCTAAAATTCCCAAATTAAAGCACATAAACCACAAATTAACATCAATTAAGCAATCCTTGCAATGTAAGTGGAGTTAACTTACCTAGATAAGCTCCAATTAAACTTCAAATAGTGAAACGATTGAGCAATTTCTTCCTCTCTTTTGATGGGTTCAGTCAAGAGTTACAATGGCTGATTTGTTGGGTGCACTAGAAATTTATTGAAAATGGATGGATGACTAATATAGGACATGTCATTCCTTATATGCTAAATAAGTTATCACATTACACTTTGATGAATGTCAACTCAAAGAATTTATGGCCATAGTGGAAATACACCAATAGAGCATAGTTGGTTTACTCTAGAGCTAAGACATTTGAAAATTGAAAACAAACTTGTGTGATCATAATCAAACAAACTATAAACCAAGTTCAAGATCACATTGTGATAAATTGACATGAGGTCCAAATTATATGGTAACTATGCTCATGAAAGATAATTGTAAATTAATTAATCCTCTTAGAGAATTGAGTAGTCATGATTTCTTGCTAGAGGCCAATATTGATTTATGTATCAAAAGATAAAATTAGGAACAGATCGAAGAGGAAGATGTGAGATCCTTGTAAACAAAGTGGAGAGAAATGGGGGCCGCCTTATCTATGAGGCAAGAAAACACTAGTGTTAGTACTCCCTTTTTAACCTTGGATCTACCAAAGAGAAACATCTCATGTCCGCCACATCGAAGTTTGATCTTGCAAGTTTGCTTGAAAAGGATGCATGCACCTCCCATTTTCATACCCAACGTTTCTACCTTTATTCTAGGGTTGTTGTGTATGGTGGTGGTGGATACATTATAGTTAATATGATTATGAAAGTAGAAGATGGTAATGGTTGTGATTCGAGGGATATGTCCACCATGTGTTTTGAGTTTTTGCTTGTGAGAGGGTGAGTTTGTTATTTTTTATGAGGAGCATTGAATTTAATGATTGAGGGTTTATGGAGGTTAAGGGCTACTTGTTTTAAGGTCTTAGGGAGGGAGAGAGAGAGCTGGTTTCGGGTGTTAAGGGTAGTAGGGATCTTACGTGGGGTTGTTGTGGTCCTATGGTAGTGACTAGGGGAGGAGTAGACGAAGGGAAAGGTTGGCTATGGGTTTTATTATTTCCTTCCTTTTTTGAAATGATGGTAGAAACTGTTTTGACAAAGGTTGATGGTACTTTTAGAGGAGAGGGTTTTGTTAGGATCCTAAAAGGATGAAGACAACTATTTTGGTTACTACAAGGTGGACCAAGGATCGTACCTTAATGAAGAAGGAGCTATAAGTTTAACAATGAAGGGTTATTTAGATATGGTTTGTAAAAACGTGGAGGATGAAAGAACATGACATATTTGAAAGAGCCATGGCAGCCAAGTCTTTCCAATTAAAGACGGCTACCTAGTATTTATTTTTTTATAGAGACTACATTTTTAGAGCTTTTTTTTGTGTGGGATAGAAAAATTATGAAAGCCCTATAAAATGAAAGAAATGGTTGCTTTTATATGAGGTTTTTAGGGTTGGGGGATGAGTTATCTCAATCATTTTTCTTCTTTTTTTGTAGTTTTATATTTTGTATTTTATATGTATTTTTTGCATTTTTATTCTTTTATTCTTTTTTATTTTTATAATAAATTTCAAAATAAAATAAAATAAGAAACACATAACATAACAAAAAATATGAATAAATTTTGGATTATGATAGTTGCCTCTTCGTTATAATGCTTATGAAGCAAAGTCAAATGAAAAATATATTTTTCAATGACTTTGTATAATAAGCTTGTAAAGAAATTTTTTTTCAAAGCTTAATCCGATTATTCCGAGTGATTAAACCCGAAAGTAAAACTGTGATGGGAAGGTATTGTTATGCAGGACGGCTTTCCTTAAAAATTAAATATGCATTGGATGACCATGTTGTTAAGGAAAATCTACCCTAAAAATTAAACGTGTAATACATGGCCATGTTGTTAAGACGGTTTGTCTAGAAAATTAAATATGTAGTATATAGCCATGTTGTTAAGACGGTTCGTCTTAAAAATTAAATATGCAATATGATGGCCTTATTTTCAAGTGCAACCTATCTCAAAAATTAAATATATAATACATGGTCTTATTGTCAAGGACAACTTATCATGAAAATTAAATATGCAATGTGATGACCTTGTTATTAAAGACAACCTATTTTTAAAATTGAATACGTAATGCATGGCTTTATTGTCAATGACAACCAGCCTTGAACATTAAATATGTAATACATGACCTTGTTGTCAAGGACGAGACTATCCTGAAAATTAAATATGAAATGCAATGGCTTTGTTGTCAATGATAGCCTATCCTAAAAAGCCTACCATTTATTGATATGTATGTTTTCACTGTGCTCTCTCTTCAATTTTCATTTGACCATACCAAAGCTAAGCGTAACATGTCCGAGAGAGGAGTTGAGTTTTAGTTGGATGGCCTATATTTTGGAAACAAACTCAAAACGGATAGTACAATAAATAAACAAGTATATACATGCATGACGTAAATTGAATTGGATACTTTATTGTTGTAGACTTCAAATCATGATAGAGTTTGTATCGAAATTTGACTAGATCAAATTTTAAACTCATAAATATTTAGGGGGATTTAGGAAACATATCTATCCTAAATCGGATTTGTCTTTGACTGAATATTTTTTCATTAAGACCCAAAGTGATTAGCGTATCTTGTGACAACATACACAGCAGAATTTGAAATTTGAACTTCTAGCATATTCTCAAAATGACTTATAGTCATTTTTTATTGAAGAATAAAAACAATGTAGTTTTTAGTAATTATTTATAACAACCACTTAAATTACAATGCCTATAACATTTACATTATAAATACATTTCTATTTTATTCTTTACAATCACGGACTTGAGTACGAGGCAATAGGAACCATATGATTTCTAAATCTTGTTATGAGCTTATCTTCGGTGGTGCACTCATTGTTTGTGGCTTCTATCTTTTTTCATATTTGTTTTCGTCATTTTTTTTATCTAAGATCTAGGGTAAACAACCTCCCTCCTTAACCTAAATCGATTCTAATTTGACCCTAAAATCCTTGATAATATTCTCTCGTCATGATTTGTTTTGAAGATTTCCTACAAGAATAAGGATTAAAACATACATCATTTAAAAATGCTTCTTCTTAGTGGGTCCGTTAATGTAGGTGCTCAAGATCCAACCATGTATCGATAGGCTTAAGTTAATATATCATTACATTATTTATTTTGACGGTAATAAAGAAATCATTTTGTTAATTCTTTTGTTTACATGTTCGGTAGAATTAGATAAAAATCCTTATGATATGCATTTGTAATAGTGATTAATCGAAAGATATGAGACAAATACTAATGCACACAAATGAAATCATTAAATGTCCTAAGTCATAGCATTGTCGAAAATGGATATTGACAATATACGGATAGACTTGTGAGTGTTATGCTCATGCTATATGATAGCAGTAAGAGATCTCATACCTATTGGCATGGTGATGTCAAAGCAAGCGCTTAGTGATTCATGTTAGAGAACATGTCACTGGACTTGACTCACCATGAGAACCCATTTGGTTTTAGTCTATGAGAATCTCATACGAGATGGGTAAAAATGGTCTTTAGACTTGAAGTCGTCACGGTTATCTCATTGGAGGACTTATGCATTTTGACACTCGTTTCGATGGATCCATTAATGGGTTGCACTTGGGCGATTCGTTGGGTGCACTAGGAATCTAATATAGGTAGGTGTATGACTAAACTAGGACATGTCATTCCTTGTATGCTAAAGGAATTATCATATTGCCCTTCGATAAATGTCTCGCTCAAAAAATCTATGACCATAGTAGGAGTACATCAATATAACATAGTTAGTTTACTATAGGAGCTAAGAAATTTGGGAATTGAAGAAAACTTATGTTATGATAATCAAATAAGACTAATAACCAAGTTCGAGATCATATTGTGATAAGTTGACATGAGGACTGAATTATATGGTAACCAAGCTCATGAAAGGTAATAATGGATTAACTAATCCTCTTGGAAAATTGGGTAGTCATAATGTCTTACTAAAGGCCAATATTGCTTTATGTATCAAGAGATTAAAGAGGAGGCTTTTATTCTTGATGCATTTTCAATATATCTAGGAGCCTATTGAGTCATATGTTTAAGTAATTACATTACAAATAAGAATAAAAAATATTGAAAAAAAAATTTCAATTATAAAAGTTTCCTATTTTGGAAAGAGTTTCCAAAATGAAAAGTTTTCTATTTTAGAAATCGGTTTCCTAATTTGAAAGTTAGTTTCAAATTTGAAAATATAGAACCTAAAAGAAAAGGAGTTTCTTAATTTAGGTTGAAGGGTATTTGAGAAATTACTTTCTAATGTGGACCCCGTCAAAATAATCTAAGTATATTTATTTGGATAGTCCAAATAAATAAATTAGGCTAAAATAGTTTTGGTCTATTAGATTTAATTAAAAAGCTTAAAGATAATTTTGGTGGGAGGATAAACATCAATCTTATTGGATATGGTTGAATGTTTTAATGATAATAATCAAATAATTCACATATAAAATAACTCCTCACCTTTGAAGGATAAGGAAGCAACAACCTAAAATCTTTTATGGACTCATAGCCGCCACTCTTCTTATCTTTGGAGGACAAAGAAACTCTCCTATAAATATATATGCGAGAGAGAAAATTCGACCAACAAAAAAAAAGAAAGAACATTCGTTCAGCCCTAAAATCACATTGGGCATATGGCCAAGAGGGAAAATAAAGAAGAAAATAGTTTCCTCCTAAACCCTAGCAAGAAATATTATTTCCTTCTCTTTTAAGGTTGTGACAAAAGTTACCTAGAATTGATTTCTAGAGGAAATACAAAATTAGAAAAAGGTGGAGCTAACACCTTATTAATTTGAGTGCTTCTTTATGGATACTTGAGCTGTATGGATCATCAATAAAGGTCGAATACTTGGACGGCTTTGTTGGAAAAGAGTTTAGATATGCAATACATGAGGTAATCCTTTACTTATAACTTATAATTCATGTATATATGGTTAGTAGATTCAATGGCTTGATCTTGGGGCCTTAGATGGATAAATTTTATTTATTTGTTATGTACCTTCATAGGATGCATGATCCTTCGGGGTCAACACTAGTAGTCATGATCTAGCTTTTCTCGAATTTAGGCAAAGCTTATCTAATCCTTAAGTCTTTTCAAGTTTCTAAACGATCTAAATTACAAATAGAGTAATTCGACCTCTAACCTTATGCATGAGAAGGTAGGAAAAGATCATTCCACCATTTTCTATGCATACGGTGAGTTTCAATCCAAATGAAAATTCGAAAAAGCATCGATAGACTTTCATACATACCTTCAGATCTTTCTATCTAAATCGTACAAGGTTTTAGCTCGAGTCTAGTGCTTTTGTATGTTTTTTTTGTAATGTGTGCAACATATCAAAATAATCATATTAACCTAGTTCACTAAATAAATATGTATATGAATAGAAGAAAAATAAATTGCATAACCTTAAAAGATTTAAAATATATACAAGAAATAAAATTCAAAGTAATAAATTGAACAAAATAAATAAATTGGAATTAATTAAATAAAAAGATAAAAGATTTGGAAAATAACTGACAAAAAGTAGACAAAGAAGATAAATTCAAAAGATTAAACCTATAGTCAAACTCTAAATCCCTAATGGAGTCATCATTTTTTCATTACTCGATATCGGACAAGACTCTCAAAAAATTTATTAGATTGGCATCATTTGCATCACATTTATGAGTTATTCTAGAAAACGAGTTATTATTGAGTTTAAAGTCGATACCAAGTGTTAAAAAAACTAGGAACCTAAAAATAGCATTAGTGCAAAAACTTTGGGTAAGATTTGGTTATATTTTGAAAAGGCATCGATCATCCAAAAATGTCCTTTCCTAGGAAAGATATCATATCTAGTTTAGTCCTATATTCATCTTCTAAATTATTTTATTTATGTCGACTTATTTTCGATTTAAATTTCAATTTTTCAAGCAAAATTAAGTTTTTAATTTTTGAGCATGGCATCATATTGAAACAATCGTCAATTCCCTTCATCGGATAGCACATCGATTCAAATATCGGATCTACGTTAAGCTTCAACATAACCGATGTGTTAGAGAATATCCTAATTATTAAATATTGATATTTTTTA